TTTTTTTTTTTTTTTTTTTTTTTTTTAAGAGACAGGGTCTCACTCCGTCCCTCAGGCTGGAGTGTAGTAATACAATCATAGCTCCCTGCAGTCTCAAACTCCTGGGCTCAAGAGATCCTCTCACCTCAGTCTCTCCAGTAGCTAGGACTACAGACAACTTCTGTGCATTAACAGTAATCAAGAGGCAACGTTGTGAGGATCTTAGCCCAAGTTGGCAAACTGGAAGCAGATGGCCATTCAGAAGTTAAGGGGAGAGTAAAAGCCGGAGAAACGGGAAGGTCGTTAGGGCCACAGTTGTTTTGAGCGTTTACATTTACTCTGTGTACTAGACCTACCTCCAGTGCTTCTGAAGAGGCATGATGGCAGAGTGTAATCCCTGGACAGTTTGGGCTCAAATCCTAGCACTTTCCTGCCTGGCAGTGTGAGCAAGTCACTCAGGTCCTCTGTAAGTTGATTTCCTCATTTGCAAAATGAGATTGTTGATAATATCACCTTTTTTTTTTTTTTTTTAAGACAGAGTCTTGCTCTGTGCTCTGGCCTGGAGTTCAGTGGCGCGATCTCGGATCACTGGACTGGGTTCAAGTGATTCTCCTGCCTCAGCCTCCCGAGTAGCTTGGATTACAGGCGCACGCCACCATGCCTGGTTAATTTTTGTATTTTTAGTGGAGACGAGATTTCACCATGCTGGCCAGGCTGGTCTTGAACTCCTGACCTCAGGTGATCCACCCGCCTTGGCCTCCCAAAGTGCTGGGATTACAGGCGTGAACTACCGCGCCTGGCCAACAGTATCACTTTTAGAGGGTTGCTGTGAAGATCAAGATGTAGATCACTTAAAATACAGAACAGCACTTGGCATTACATAATAATCACTTGTTACCGTTACCTTGTGCTGTTTTTCTAAGTTCCATACAGGTATCACCATGTGAAACATAGCAATCCTCTGAGGGGAGGTACTATCATCCATGATACAAACCAGGCAGCTGAGAAAGAGAAGTTACACAAGCAGCCCCTGAGCCAGAAGTGTGTTCTAGAATCCCTAGTATACCCTCTGAACCACCACACTGATCCAAAGACAAGACAGCCATATCCGCAGACAGTGTCATACCACGGAATTGTTCACAGGTCTCCAGCATGGGCTATGCTGTCATTTGGAGGCAGGGCCGTATGACCCAACTGAAAGACCAGGTACTTTTTAGAGACAAGACAGGTACAAGGTCTTGAAATATAAAAGTTGGCTGGGAGAGCTGGGCAGGGTGGCTCACGCCTGTAAATCCCAGCACTTTGGGACGCTGAGGCGGACGGATTAAGAGCTCAGGAGTTAGAAAGCAGCCTGAACAACATGGTGAAACTCAGTCTCTACTAAAAACACAAAAATTAGCCAGGTGTGGTGGCACGCGCCTGTAATCTCAGCTACTCAGGAGGCTGAGGCAGGAGAATTGCTTGAACCTGGGAGGGGGAGGTTGCAGTGAGGTTGCAGTGAGCCAAGATCGCGCCACTGCATTCAAGCCTGGGAGACAGAAGGAGACTGTCTCGAAAAAACAAACAGTTAGCTGGGTGGCAAAAGCATTTAGGCAAAGCATACAACATCTGCGTACCTGCAAAGCCTCTGAATTTACTAGCTTGTTAAGTTCCTGACGGGAAAGGTAGGCAGTTGAATTTGGAGAGCTAGGCAACTTCCAAACTACGATGGGGGGAGCTTCTTGACTGTGCTAAGGAGTTTGAATCACACACTATAAGTGATGACGGACGGCGAGAGGATTGTAAGCAGCTAAAACTGTGATAGAATGTGAGCTGGAAGGAAATCGAAAGGAATCCTCAACAATGAGAGGGTCGCCTTTCCGTCTGCTGGCCGTCCTGCTGTGGCCTGCGGTGGGTGGGGACGGGGGTTCCACTACACGGAAGTGTGACGCGCCGAGCTGGACTTCTTCTAGGCTGAATTTGGGGCAGATTTTCTCATTTGTTTTGCTCAAGTATTTATGGGGCCAACTAATATGTTTAGCAACGTTGTGTGTGGGAGCAGTAGAGGAACTGAGAAGTTTACAAACTGTAAGAGATCCCCCAAAGAGTCCACAGGTCTGAGGCAGCAGCACCTGGGAATCTCTGGGTTCCAGTTAGTCCTTCCTGACTGACTCGTTACAGCAGTGTCCAGACAAGGAGATGTCAGGTCCTGGGGCAGGGTTCCCGTCAGGTGGGATGGTTTAGCCCCGCATCTGCCTTCAAAGATCCCGAGATTATGCCGTCGCAGCGGACTGGACAAGAGTGGGTGCGTGGCAGGGACTGAGTCTAGGAGGCCTGGAGGCCCTGTCTGAAACTGGGCTGTCGCTGTCGCACGGCCCTCTCTCCTTCAAGCAGTTATCATACAGCTATTCCCCTTCCTTGCGTTTAGACCCTCTCCTCTAACAGCCTGCACCTGCAAGCAGGGACCTCCGTGGCAGCCAGGACAGTGTGTCTGTCTCGGTCTCCAAAGTACCCCGGAGTCTGAATTGGGCGGGGGATGGTGCGGGAGCAGCGCCTGACTCCGAGGAGGACCCGGGCGGCGTCTCCCGCCCCTCGGTGACCTTATGGGCCAAGGCTGTGAAGGGCAGGCGGGGCGACGCGGAGGGGCCGGGCGCTAGAGGCCCGCAAACAGCGCGGCGGTCCCCGGCAGGAGACGCGGCCTGGCGGGCCGGGACGGCGGCGCCGGGCGCCTACGCGCGGTGCTCTGGGAGTTGTAGGCACTTTCCTCTTCTCTCTCTTTCAGCTGGCTGGCTCTCGAAACCCAAGGACCTACCGGTGGGTGGGCGCCTGTGACTCCCAGGCTGCGAACGCCAGGAACTCAGTTTCTTCAAAAATGTCTGAACCAGGACTGCTCCTGGGGGTCCTCGCGCCCTCGCAGAAGGACTACGGGCCCCGGCGACCCCGGGGGCGGGGCTTCTGGCGCGCTGCCTTGTGGGCGCGGTAGTTCCGCCAGGCCCGGCTTCCGCCTGCCGAGCGTCCCGGGACAGCGGGCCGGACTACACTTCCCGTCGGCCCGCCTGCTCTCCCGATGCCGCCTTGGCGCGAGACGTTGGCAAGCGGAGTGTCTCCAAGATGGCCGCTTGGGGAAGGAGGCGTCTTGGCCCGGGCAGCAGTGGCGGCAGCGCCCGAGAGAGGTGAGATCCAAGGGCTTGTTGCCCACGGTGCAGGCGGCTCAGGGGCCGGAGAGCCCAGCGCGGCCTCCGGGGGCTGCAGCAGCCTTCCTGCCCTGGTATCCCCGGGCTCCCCCGACCCCCGCCTGGCATACGGGGTTCCAGTTCCGGAGGATCCGGGATCCGGGTAGGAGCGAGGTCGAAGGCTTCGGCGGAGAGCTTAGGGGAAGGGGCGTTAGCCGGGCTGGGTAAGGTGGGCAGCGGCCATGCGGGGTGGGGCTCGAGGCCGGGCCGTGCGGAGAGGAACTGGCGCCCAGCGCAGGCCTCAGGGACCCGCCTAGCCGCGGGCTGATCGGCGGCCGAAGCACCCTTCCCGCTTGGCCGCGCGCGTGGCCATCTCGGCCGCGGCCCCCAACGTGGCGAGGAAGGCAGGGCCCCTGGAGAGAGAAAGAAGGTGAAGCCTTCACAGAGCAGGCCGGCCGCGGCAGGGGTAGTTTGATCTGCACGTTTACCAGGGAGCTTTAGCTCCCACCACATGTGTCTCTTCCGGGCCCAGAGCCGGCCACTTCCTCGAGGGGCGATTCTGGAGACTTTTGGATGGTTCCGTGCAAGCGCTCCTGCCGTGGAAGTCAATTAAAGTGACCTTTCCTAATGAATGGTGTGTGGGTAGGGAGCTAGGAACGTGTTTCTTCCAACAGAGACCTCCATTTGAGTAACTGATTTCTAGAAGATGAGATTGGAGTAGTTTCCGTGTTACATGTTCAAGTTGCAGTTTTTGCTTCTGGGAAGCAGTTGCAGCTAGTGGAAGCCACTAGAAGCTGTTCAGCCGCTAGAAGTTTTGGGAGAGGATGTATATTGGTGGAGCCACCTGGATGAACTATCCGCTAAAGCTTGATTGTAACAGCAGCGGTCAGCAAAAAAGGAAAGTTTTGGGTTTGCTGTTGTTGTTTTTTTCCCCGTCTCTTTGGTGAAGATTGTCTAACCAGAACATTTCTCTGCCTGTCAACTACTCTGCATTATTCCTTTTCTATGACTGATTCCATCCCGTGTTCGTTGCTATTGCTTGCAGATGGCTTTCCCAGCTGGGAAGATTCTTCCTGTTTGGCAGTTGTGATAGAGTCCGTTAGCTTGCTTGCACTTTATTCTTGAGCCCAGTTATCCAACGTCGCCCATTCTGCATTTCCTCTTCCTTGGAAAAGCAGTGGTAAACACACTTTTGTTTTTTTAACTCCCGCCTGGTATTTCTTAGATTGGACCATTGAAATAAGTTACCTCAATGGTTTTCAGATGCCCTTAAAAACTAGCAAACATTTTCAAGATATTCAATGCAAACAGTAATAGGAAATAACCTGTTTAGAAAACAAAGTTTTAGAAACGTTCGCCCTCTTGTTGGACTAAAAGCAACTGAAAAGAGCCTTATAGGGATGCCTCAGGCAGGGAACAGGAGCCTTGCCAGCACAGGTTAAGCTTTTATTGATCTAAGAAAATAGATCCTGAGAATTGTTTTTGCTTTGGCTTGAGACAAGTATTTATTCAAAGTGGAGTCGGCAAATCAGCAGTGCATCAGCTGGAGCCAGTGCTTGACTGTTGAACCTCAACAGTTTTTAAGAGAATTTAAATTAGTTGCCAACAGATTTCACATAAAACGCTCCCTGAAAAGCTGGGTAGTGGCTGACTCTTTTTGGTTAGGACAGTGCTCTCCAGTTCTTGATTCCTCACCTGACAGCTTGACTCAATCACCTGACAGCTTGACTCAATGCATTTACCTGCTTGGTCTCAGGTTGCACCTTTGGCTTGGAACTGAAGGCTCCACTCATACACGCAGATGTTGTGTGTCAGCAGGAATGTGGCATTTGGTTTTGTGGTTTGGATGTCACCATCAACTCTCCTAGATAGTGTGGTGTGGGTGGAGAGGACCTCTCTGTTTGCTTTTGCTGTAAACCCCTAGCCAGGTTCTGTAGGAAAAGTCATTTGCCCGAGCTCAGCTTCCCTAAGCTCTTTCCATGCTGAGCAGGGGATGGAAACATAACCCGCTGTGCGGCTAGCGAGCTGACTTCTGGGCATCCCTCCATTCCTGCTCAGTTGGTGATGACTGTTCAGGTGGGGCAGGGTGGATTAGGTGATGGCCCAGCACCCTAGATTAGGAGATCTGAGTGTATTATTGGCTCTTATGACTGAAGTAGGCTGTTTATGGTTCTCTTAAATGACTTTGTTCCATGTCACATTTGTGCTGACTTAAATCTCAGCTCCATATTGTACGAGTGCTCTCTCCCGTTGCTGCTCACACCTGGTTAGCATTCGCTTTTGCTGAAGCTGAGGGAAACAGTGTCTGGTTTGGACAAGGGGCTAGAACAGAGCGACGCTTTGGGCAAACTTGCCAGATTTGCCAGCAGCTACCAACTCTGAAGCATGCACTGTACTTAAAGGCCTCACCCAGTGTCAGATTGCCCACACTATTACTGCCAGCGCTGTGTGTTGGATGGTCCAGCTTAGCGCGTGTAGCGTGTGGGGTTCTTGCTTTACCTTGTTGAGTCTAGAACCACAGCTCTAGAATTAGTGCTGAATTAACACAGCAGTTCAGTAGTCACCAGCCACATGTGGCGATGACATTTAAATTCATTAAAATTAAATAAAATGAAGAATTCAGCTCCTCAGTCTCACTAGCCACATTTCAAAGGCTCAATAGCCACTTCTGGCTCGTGGCTACCATATTGGACAGCACAGGTGGAGGACATTTCCATCACTGCAAAAAGTTACGATATGGACAGTGCTGGTTTCGACTAAATTAGGAGGGGTGGAAATAGCAAAATGGTAGTGCTTGCATGTTGATTTTTCTCTCCACTCCATTAAATCTAGGGAACCAACAGTGTTTGTAATGAAGAACATCAGACTCTGAGCTGTAACCTGAATTCTTGTCCAAAATTCAGCACACTGGCAACGAGCACATCAAACAGATTGCCACTTGTCCTGTCGGCGTCTTTGAGACACACTTGCCCATCTAGGAAAGCACAGTGCAGGTATCTGTGTTCTGCCACCGTGTGCCAGCCCGGACCAGCTCACAGACAGCCCCGCCTGTCTTACTTGGGTTGCTTGACTTCACTCTCTCAGGGCCCCTGAACCTCCCTGAGCCCTCCGTGATTGTTGGAATGTGAGTATAGCTGTGTGCTCTGAGTTCCTGTTTTTCTAATCATGTGAAGATGTACTTGATCTGCTTCTGAGCATGATATGAGGCAACCTGGGGTGTGCAGAGGGCCAGATGCACTGGGCTAACGGTTCAGGTTTAGGGTGAAGTTATTTGTTGCGGCCTGCCCCTCCCCTGGCTTGCGTGGCCATCTGCTCCAGCATTTTATAAGCAGCCAGTTCCCTGGGCTGACTTCCATAACTTTCCATGCCACGCTTTATTCCCCAGGACCTGTCCTCTTCTTTGTGAACTCAGGTGTGCCTGGTCCCAGGTGGCCCTTGCAGGTTCCTCCAGCGAGCAGATGGAGCACAAGCCCCGGGGGCAGGTCGGGCCATGGTCCTGGGGTGACAGCTTCCCTTTCAGATCTGATCCTTCCCTTTTACACTCTCAGGGTTTGGGAGTATCGAATCTCTCTTGAAAGACTCCCATGCTCGCTTTTGTGTGTGGTGGGAGTTTTTGTTTCCTTCGGGCTGGGATGAGATGAGCAGATAACGGGATCTGCACCCAAGTGTGTGGGGGTTTAGCCACTGGTTGTGGGGTTCTGCTCAGCTGCTTAACAAAGGCAGAGCCACAGGTTCTGGCCACAGAAGTTGGATTCGTAGATAAGGATGGGGTTCATCCTCTTCAGCATTGATGTGCCTTCAAGTTTTCAAGAATTTCTGTTTTCCTTGGTTCACTCAAGCAGCCTGGATTCCAAGTGCGTGAATGTGTGCCTCCGTGGCTCAGTCCTTTAGGTCATGTTCCAGGGAAGACCCCCCCTTTCTGAAGAGGGGAGGGCTGCGTCTGGGTCCACGGAGGTGGGGAGGTGGCTCCTGTGCTCCGGCTTGTGGGTGTGCACCTGTTCTTCAATGAGCGAGGTGCGGGGGATAGAACTGGGCAGTCCTCCACGAGCGAGCGCACCCGGGAACCTCTGAGCCGCCGTTGTGTTCCGCCCTGGTGCCAGCAGCCACTTTATGGGCACAGTTCTCAGGAAAAGCTGACGACCATGTAGTAGTCATAACAGTTCTTCAGAGCAGGGCTGTCCAGTAGGAGTTTCTGGCACGACAGACTCCTTCCGGTGTGTCCCTGCAGTCCATTAGGGCAGCCATTAGCCACGTATGGCTGTCAGGATTTGTAGTGTGTCTGAGGAACTGAGGTTTTTAAAATTTATTTCTTTGTTTGATGAGACAGGTCTGGCTCTGTCACCCAGGCTGGAGTGCAGTGGTGTGATCTCGGCTCTCTGCAACCTGCGTCTCCCTGGCTCAACGCATTCTCCCACCCCAGCCTCCCGAGTAGCTGGGGCCACAGCCATGCACCACCACGCCCAGCTCACTTTTGTATTTTTTTGTAGAGGCGGCCTTTCACCATGTTGTCCGGGCTGGTCTTCAATTTGTGGGCTCAAGGAATCCACCTGCCCTGGCCCCCCCAAAGTGCTGGAATGACAGGTGTGAGCCACTGTGCCCGGCCAGGAACTGAATTTTTTAATATTTCTAATTTTCATTAATTTAAATTTCAACAGCCACATGTGCCTTAGGCAGAGGGGCAGTGCTTGGCGACTGTTCCCTCTTCACTGCAGTCCTCTGGGAGAGCCAGGGCCTCTGGCCCCATTTGACAACACGGGACACTGGCTCAGAGGGGCCGGGTGTTTTACCCTAGGACACAAAGCCCCGGTTTTGTGAGAGAGAATTGAATCCACCCTCTCGGCTCCCCCACTCGGTGCACCGTGTTCCTGCCCCACCAGATAGAAGCGCTGCTCAGTTACCAGTGCGCAGAATAGGAAAGCGTCCTCTGAAGCAGACAAAAGGGCTGGGTACCCTGTGAAAGTTCCTTGGCCTGTGGGAGCCATCCTCAGGCCATGGGGCCGCGTGCCCGTGCCTTTGAGTCTGAGGCACGGGCTTTCGCTGCTTCGTTCCTCTGCTTTCTGTGGGTCGGGAAGAAGCAGGGCTTAATTAGGCAGAAGCGGGTGGAGGTCCAGCCCAGCCCCTCCCGTGTCATAGGTGATCAGGTGACCCTGTTCACTAAGCGAAAAGCAACCTGACGGATGGGTTGACTTCTTTCCGGTACCAGTTCTCTTAATAACCATCATTGTTTTTCCCCTCCTGTCACTCCTGTGGCTCATCCCTGTAATCATTACAAATGTCCCTCCAACCTGTGTCTTTTGGGAACCTGTTACATGCAGGCCCCGTGCTGGGGAGACTGTGATGGAAACGCAGCCTCCGCCCCGGTGGAGCTTCAGGCCTGCCTGTGAGCCCGGCCCACTCCAGGAAGGGGCCTAATGGGGGTGCTTCCACTCAGATTTGCCTCTGCTGGGTCTCTTAGAACCGGGGAGGTGATGGTGGCTGGCCTGGCAGCGTGGCCAGTGTTTGCTCAAGGGAAACAGGGAGCTGGAACCGTCCTTCTCTTTTTGGGCAGGACTGTGGGTAGACACCAGCATGACGCCTCAGCCATGAGAAGCGGCCCGTCCAGACTTCTGCCTTTCATGGACACCGAGAAGGTTCTGGAGCAGGAAGTGAGCCACCTCCTGTTCTTCTTGGCAGTGAAAGGAGGGACCCCACAAGGGTGTCTGGTCCCTTAACCTCAACGGATATAGGGTTGAACAGAATTTTTCTTTTTTTTTTTTTTTTTT